TGTTACAGTACAGGGCTCTCTCCTTCAGGTCCTTCCCGTAGAGGTTGTACTTCATTGCTATGTAATTGGCAATGGCTCTGCTCTGCACCATCTTCATGCCATCAATCTCCACCATTGGCACTTGCTGAAAGAGCAGGGATCCATCTAGGGAAAAGGAGATAAGACAAGGAGACACTCAGTCTCAGAATGAGAACCATTGGGGGGGGGGGGTCAGGCAAAGTAACCACACATATTAACTTTTATTTAGAATCATTGAATCATTTAGGCTGGAAAAGACCCTTAAGATCGAGTCCAACTGTAAACCTAACACTGCCAAACTCCACAACTAAACCGTGTCCCCAGGTGCCACATTTACACACGGTGACTCAACCACTTCCCTGGCAAGCCTGTTCCCATGCTTGACAACTCTTTTGGTGGCAATCTTCCTCATTCCTACAAGAAGACAGGGAAAATGCTTACCATGAAACAACCATTTCTTAGCAGTATGTGACTAACTGAATATTACAGCAATCAACTTCTTGAAGATTCTTCAGATTTGAGCAAGCACCCAAATCCAGAACTTTTAGTTTTCATGCACTGAAAAAGACATGTGCGGCATGGCCCTAACTCAAATGATTTTTGTAGAGATTAATACAGATGAGAAGGACTGAAGGAGGTGATCCAGCAGTTTCTCTCATGCGTTGGTAAGTATTATGAAAATCTGGACAATTTAAGGACTTTTCAGCATATAATGCAAATATAAAAGCATACAATATCTTTGTCACTTCTATGCTGACTTTGCACAATGGCATCTCATCTGTACAGGCATGAGGTGGGGAATCACGAGGGTGTTCCATGAGATTCCTGCAAGACCCAAGTATCACTTGATGTGAGTCTGCAGAAGCCTTGACCTAGCAAAGAAGAAGCAAAAATACCTCCAGAAAGAGATCACCAGATCACAGGAGTGAGCGAGAATTTTTGCTTTATGGAATACTATTTCAGATCAGATAACTGAACAGCTCTGTCTGTCTTTGCATCAACTGTAAGGCAATCATGCAGAGAAACTCTCTGCTTTCCAGGGCGTATTTACATTTATGTTTGTGTCTCAAAATACTTTTTCAAAGGCAGCAGGTGTCAGCCATTATTCCTAAAGGAGAGCAGGACTGCACATGCCAACTCCAGCTCAGCCTTTTTTCAAAAGCCAAGGGAAGAGCCCAGACGTGTAATATGATTTGGAGGAAATGTGAATATCATGTTCACAGAGATGAAAGCTGAAGCTAGAAGATGAGTAGTTGCCTTGGGAAACAGGAATGCATCAGAGCTACAGGTTAAACTCAGAGATCTGGAACTCTGTTTTCATATGGATTATGAAACAACAACATCGTAGGCAACCTAAAATGGTAATGAATTTGAAGATGATGTGATGACAAAAACCTGTATTGTGATAGGACAGGAGGCAATGGACACAAACTGAATCAAAGGAGAGTCAGTCATCTGAACGTACAGAAAGGCTCTTTCACTGTGGGAAGTTACTGTGCATTGGCACAGGTTGCCAGAAAGCCTCCATCCTTGGAGATACTTAGAAGTGAGCTGGACATGGACTGGGCAAATGGTTTGTAGGTGGTGTTGCTTGAAGAGGGGAGGTGGCATAGATGATCTCAAGAGGTGCCTTCTGACCTCAGCCCTTCTGTGATTCAGTGAAGATTGAAGCAACTGGGTGGATGAGGCCACCTAACACACTGCAGTGTGTGTCTGTGATATATCATGCACGATCAAATCTAGATTTTCTTTTTAAGAGACTAAGACTTCTTACGTGTTCTCAGACAAATTATTATTATTATTATTGCTATTGTTGTTGTTGTTATCATTATCATTGTTAGTGTTATTATTAAATAGTGAAGGTATCTTACCCTTCTGTAGCTTTGTCAGATCATCCTTTTTTTCCAGAAAAGATTCTTCAAACTGCAAGAAATAGAGAAGAAAAGTTCAGTTGTTGTTCCATGTTTTAGCTGCTTCTTCATTTAGACAATGAAGGCACAACGAGCTGTGTTTGGGGCATTTTATTTTTTAAAAAATAAATAATATTCAAAAGCCTTCTGGCGCATTGGCCATCACCATGACAAAAACCTCACAGCTCACAAAAACTCACCGATCCCCACACTCCTCTCTGCTTCAATATCAGAAAGTCTTAGTGGCAAAAAAGAAAACTTTGATTTATAATAAAAAGTACCTTCTGGGGTAAGCTACATTGTAGTAGCAAAATTAGTCTTTTGCTATTTTGAACACTGAAATTTAACTGAAGGTCTTCAGAACTGGAAGTGCTCGACCCCTGGGATCAGAAGGTAAGAAGCCAGGTTCTGCTGCTGTCGTTTTAATTTTTTCTTTCACTAGCTACTGGGGATAGGCATTTGTGGTGCTACCAGTAGGCCTGGCACAAGATGCATAGAAGTGAGACTGGAACTTCCCCCTGTTTAGGGTAAGCTCATGGTCATTGTTGGCTTGGTCAGCAATGCACTAAATGCAGACCTTGAAGCTGCAGGTCAGTCACTCACATTTTTCATAGGGAATGTTAAAAGTACATATTTGTCACATGCTCTTGGTATAAGAAAACAGAGACAAACCTCAACCCCGGCTGCTGCCAGCAGCCACCGTATTGGTTCCATTCGGCCTCGTCCATTGAAGTAGTGCAGCTTGGGTTTCCCAGACATGTTTCCACGTGCCTGATAGTTTCTTCCTATTTGGAATAAAAAAATAAGTCTTGCAAACTAAAGATTCAGAATGCTGGTTTTGAGTCTCTCATTGGCTCTCAAAGTTGTCCTGTTTGAAACCAATGATTTATGGTTCAAGACTTTGGACTTACTAAAGGAGGTAGAGGTTAGAGTACATTGAGAGACTGCATTGTATCATCTTGCCTTAAAAATGTCTTTTATCCATGCAGGTTTGTTAAGCAGAACTCTGTAATAAGAGCCATTGTCCCCCTTCAGAGAACAAGCAAACCGAAACCATTTGCATCCAAAGTGTTCTACTCTGAGCAAAAAGCAGACTGTGCTTTCTGTTTATTTTGGCATTATCTCACCATACAGTTTACTGTTTAACCAGATACACAATATTCACTCAGCAATTGCTGTGCTTTCACCAGCAGCCATTATGCTCCATTATAAAGAGGCAGGAAGGAATATTTTTCCCTCTTGTAAGCATTCAATCTCTTTTACAACACTCCCTGCTCCGCTAATTTCTTTAGACAAGCCTCCGAAGACATAGAAATTAATTTTGTCTCTGGTAACATCACATCTGCCTTTACCACAGACAGAGCCAAAGGGCAATGCCTGTTTTGACAATTTCAACTTTGCTAGAATATAAAGCAGCAACAGTTTCTTGGCAGATCACCATCCCCCCCATTCAGAACCACGTGAGCACAGCAGCGGCAAACATGCAGACAGCACCTGGTGTATACCACTCTCACAGTTATTAACACTGTCTCAACAATTAAGCTAAAGCTTTAGCAGCAGCAAAGGGGAAATGGCTAAACCCCCACCATGTTCTCCTTTTAAATAACATATCAGCTTCTCTACAATAGGAAGAAGGAGATATAAGGAAATACTCCATATTTCTGAGATCTACATTTCTTTTTCTTCATTCTGTACACCTAGGAAGCAGCTGACTAATAATTTAACATTTCATGCATATAACCTTCACGTTAGTAAAAAAAGTACAAACAATCTGTAAAACCCATTCATGACTTCGTTTCAAATACAATAATTCCCTATGCTTCCCCAAAATCCAAAAAACTTACCTTGTCCACACTATAACTCACTCTAAGCTCTCAGTAGCTCTGCCTGGAGATTATATAGGTCTGTAGCCCCTCCCACAAAGAGAACTGCAAATGGTTCTCTGGGAATGGGAAATTCCTCTCTCTTAAGGAAGTAAAACCAATTAGGTCTGTTTAGTTACTTCTCACCTACAAAAAATAAATTCCTGACTCATGCTGACTATGTACAAATGTAAGATAGATGAGAGGTCATGATGAATGGGAACATCTGTTCCAGCACAAAATGGTATACTTCCTCTTTTCACCGCTTGGCAACCTGTTAGTTAAAAATAATTGTGATGGCCGAAAAGCTCACAAAGTTTAAAAGAAAACTGTTGTCCCAGTCAGACTTTCATTTTAATATTTCATGGGTTTGTACTTTTAACCAATTGCCGCTTTACAATATCAACTAATTCTGCTTGAATCCTTCATAAGCTTCTGTCCAGTGCTTAGTGATGGGGATATTCCTTCAGGACATTTCCACTGAATTTCACTCCTGCACATAGGAGAGGGTTTTTTTCTTTTTCTGTCCAAAATGTTTCCCAGAATTTGACTTGCTGAAAATGCTCACCAAAGACAACTGTAGGAGGCAGTGAACGAAGTACAGCATGAGAAGGCAAACTGCCCTCTGCACTCCTGATGCTTTTTTGTGACAACTGTATTGATTTCAAAAAGTCAATGCAGCATAAACTCCCGTGAACCATCCAGCCTATCTAGCTGGTTAATGCTGTTGTAGCCATTACCTGCAGTCAAGGTCAGCATCTCTATAAAATTCTGCTGAATTGCCCTGAGTGTAATTGCAAGCTGGGATATTTTTCCCCTGTTACACGTGCAAGTTGTATGAATTATAGTGTGTCAAATAAAAAACCTCAAGTTGTTTATAGTACAGGGGGCTCTCTTCTTCGGATCCTTCCTGTTCATGTACTTGGCTGCTTTGTAGCTGAAAATGATCCTCACCCCATCAGTCTCCACCACTGGTACCTGAGAGACCAATGTTGTCCATGGCTTGATGTAAAAATAAGCTTAACAATTTATTTAGAGCTAGAACCACAGGAGGATAAGGCATCCAAACAGTCACCACTGCAATGGACTGTCTTTCAGGAGATGCCTGGTCCCTGAATGGAACCCTCTGTACCCCATATGGCACAGAAGGAGAGCCAGGCTTCCCAGAAGGGCACTCCTCGCTGACAGCATATCCTGTATCCTCTGCCTTCTTGTTTGGGCTCCTTTCTTTCTTATGGTCCTCTGTCCCCTTCTTACATTTGGGGAGATTCTTCTCTCCAGCCTCCGAAAGCCTGCAGTGTGGCTGAGTCACCTCTGCAGAGGTGTCCATGCCACTGTGCATGTTCCATGGCACCTGCTGGCTTCCAGCTGCTGTTCCACAGAGCCCAGCTCTGCAGCCTGTGCTTTGGCACCATGGCCAGCCCTACAGGGGAGCCAGAGAGAGCCCCAGGCCTCTCTGCTCTGTGCAGCAGAACCCCATTCCTGGTATTGCTATGGAAGCACAAGCTGCACGTATTTTGTTTTCTGTTAACATCCAACTCAAAATAATTTGTTTGTATTTTATAAAGAAGCAGAACTCTGCATAGGAAGGTTTTCTTTGCTTGCTTGAAAAATAAGTGCTTTCCTCTCTAGCCTTCTTGGAGCGCTGAATTTTGCTGTTAGCAAAGTTTTTTTGAAGAGGAGCAGATCAAACTACACTGCTGGAAACAGTGTTTCCTGCGATTTTGGACTGAAATGACTTATGATGCAGAATCTCAGATAATGTGGAAGAAGGAAGCTTTTCCTGCGTAGACGTGTGCACCAAGGTGCATCTGGTAGCATTCCACAAACTCAAACTCACACTTAGGTAGCTTGGCTGGATTAATAATTTGTAGGCCTGGCCATAATGAACTCTAGAAGCAAAAAGTCTAGTACTGTCTGTCTCCTAATTTAGCAGGATTTTTGGAAATGTCCCTTCACTGTGCTTGTAAAGTATTTTGGAAAGCGCTCTTCTTCTGTTTTCTTCCTACCAGGTTCATTTTCCAATTTTTTTTTCTAATTTTCTTTTTTCTATGCTTACATCATGGCAATATTAAGCATCAGATTTGGTTACCAACATTGGTTGGAACAAAGTCTCCTTCTATGCAAATGTTTGTCTGCTGCATGAGGCCTCTTCACGAGGCCTCTTCACAAGGCTGTTATGGTGTGCTGTAAGTGTATGTAAGCCCTAATATTTTATTTGAAAGTCAATGGAACCTGAATTTCCGTTGCTGTCCTAAATGTGCAGAAAGAAACCACCTCTGCCTTACCTGGCTCTGCAAAACAGATTGCGTTGTTTCTTCCATTACACTTTGTTCAAGTGAATTTCTGGTAGAATCATACAAGGGGTTTGAAATAATTAATTTATGTGAAAAATAATCAATTTTGCAAGGAAAACATTGCAGAGATATCTTAAAAAGTCCAATTCACCCCAAGGCTTAAAGAGGTTATCTTTAAACAAGTCTACTTCTTTAAAAGATAAGTGATGCAGTGAGTCTTCTCTTCTTTAGCTCTTATTCTGAAGCTTATTTGCATGCAGAAAATATCTTCTCCAAGTTACATTCTGACAATACTAACACTGCATTGATCTTTTTTTGAAATTAATAAATTCCCTACCCTACAAATAGTTCTTTGCTTCCATATTTTGCCAAGCATTTGATATATCAATAAAGACAAAGCTGCTGTTACATTGCCAGAGTAATAGAATGCTTTATTTCTGGTTGGGGTTGTTTTGCTTTTTTAGCACTGTTTTTCACTACCACAATACTAATTTACTGAGATGGGGTTGATGTTTTGCCTTTCTTTTTCTTCCAGTATTCTGGGTCTCACCAAAGGTGACAAGGCTTTCATCTCTTAAAAACTTTCAACACAGTTTCTACGTAATGATCATCTGGTGGGGGTTTCCTTGGGCTACCAGGCTGCAGGAACTTCTTAATTGTAGGCATATTGCTCATTTTGGTTTTAAATGCCTAAAAATAATAAGAAAAACAGAGTAAGACAGAAATTCCAGCACACAGAAACATGATTTACACAGCACGGGGAGATGATCAGGTCATGATTTCCCTCTAGCTCCTGAATATATTCATGCTCAATAACAAAATTACCTGCAACTGAGGAAACTCAGACAGCACAGCAGGAATTTTCTCCTCCACTGCTAAAATTGCTTCAATTAGCTGAACATCTGCCCAGCTGAATTTGTTGCCCACGAGAAAGTCTTGGCCATGTTGTTTCAAAACCTGGAGAATACAGGAGAATATGGGCTGCAGATGAGAATGGGACATATGTTGCCTAGCAGCTAAGCCTCACAGCACAGCTGTAGACCTGAACAGCAATTATATCTGAAATTTCAGGGTGGAGTTTTCAGCTGGAAGCTGTGAGCCTAAATCAATTCTCTGTTGTTGGGGGGAAAAAATGAACTCTTGTTCTTTTCATGTTCTAGTACACAGACTACAAACTCTGGTCATTCAGTAATGAGGAATGATGATAGGCACTGGGAACAGAGACAAAATCATATGCTTAAGTAGCCTAATAAGAGTCATAGAGTTAGAAACAGGGATAATCGAGAAACTAAGAAGCAACTTAGAGAACTTATAAAACGGCCATTTATTTAATTTAAAGTTATGTCAAATGTTGATACCAGAAAGCAAATTTAGAAATGCAGAATTACAAAGCTAACCAAGAAAAATCCCTGCCTTTGGGAACAGGTTATTATGGTCATAAGAACTTCTATGATGTTAATCTTTTATTACTGTTTTCCATCAAAACTAGATGAATGTTATCAAAGTGGGAAATGTTGCCAGATGCATGAATCATATGGGTTTGGCTTGTTGGTTTTGGAACTGGGATGGGCAGAAATCTATGACTGGTTACTAAAGTACTCCTAATCTCTCTACCTAATTTATTTGCAAGGGATTTTTGCATTCTTCCAATGAAACTGTTCCAAATTAAATTAAGTATAGCAGAGAGATGTGCTCTAAACAACTAAAAGTATGGAACTATTCCTTCAAGGAAAAAAAATCATGCGTGCTTGCTTTTACTTCAGTGAAAAGTTTTGCTGTATAGCTGAGAACATATTGCTTTGTTTCCTTTGTACATGTTCAAATACCACAGCCCTGACAACACAAGCCAACAAACAGAGGAAAACATGCTGCTGTGGTTCCCCTTCTTTGAGATAGCCAAGAAAGCTGAGGATTTGGAACTGACCTGCAATACAGACAAGTTCTTATTTTAAACAAACTGTTTTATAATTTTAAATATAATATAAAAAACCACATCCTTGTTTTCACTTACCTTTTCAAAGACTGGAAAGTATCTGTTAGTTGCCTTCTCCTTAATTGAGTCAAGATTTTTCTCCTTTGCATCAGGTGGAGAGAAAGGAAACATCAAAATCATTTGCATCAGATCTGATATTCCTTCCACATACATGTCAATCCTATTGATCAGGAGAAGACAGTAGAAAAGAGCACAGAAGTTATTTTTTCTGTTTTCCAATTAACTAAGGCAACTTAGAGGAATTTTATACTACCAATATAGTGGCAATTTTCACAGCCAAAACTAAACACAAACTAAACCTAAATATTTTTCAAAAAGAATAAAAGCCTGCTTCTGTTTAGGAGCATTTCAGAAGCAGTTGTTAAAACTTATTGTGTTAGCTTTTCTCATACCTTTATACTGGATTTACAGGATAGAATTTGGTTTATATAATGTAGCTATCAAATAACAGATTGCTCATTAAGGGAAAGGCAGTGTTACATACAGGGCTCTCTCCTTCAAGTCTTTCCCATAGAGATTGTATTTCCCTGCTATGTAGCTGAGGATGGCTCTGGTCTGCACCATCTTCATTCCATCGATCTCAACCAGGGGCACTTGCTGGAACAGCAGGACTCCATCTAGGGTAGAGAGTTAGCCTGTTAGTTTCTCCTAGACTGCAAGCTGGACAGGAGAGCAAGAGACTGAGCACATTTCTCTTGCAGTGTAGGAGACCACTGATGTCTTGCCCTAACTGTAAAACTCCATGCAGTAAACTAACATTGTGGGAAAGATCAAATAGCCTGTATCACGCTTCTGTAGCTAGGTCATTGCACTGCAGCTGGGCCCTGGCTTTACAGCCTTACCAGAGCTTCACTGGCTTCTGGGAGCTGGCAGTGCCTGCTCCTTTGCACTTCTGGACCCTGCCTCATGCTGGCAGACAAAGCCTGAACCAGCATTTCAACCCAAGGAATAAGAGGAGAATAAAGATATATGTTAAATCTGAATTTAAAAAAAAAACAAACAACAATTATTTTGAATGTAGATCAATTCCCTGTCAGGAACAAGTGAGTAGAAAGAATGAGAGGGCTAGTACTGCAGCAACACCAAGCTTCTGGAACAAAGGAAGGGGTCAGGCAACTTTAAATATCATGAAGCTACAGATCTAGGGGCAGAGGCTGTGACAGCTGTTGGTGTTTTAAGTAAGTTTTGCATAGTCACTGCAGGACAAGAATTGGAGTGTCCCCATAGATTTTCATTATAGGTCTGGCCTCAGTGCCATTCCACAATTTAGGCCTATTTGAAAACATCTTTGTAATCCCATTTTCCACTGGTTCTGGTAGGAGCATTTTTCTGAGCCTTCAGTGAGGCATCTCTGAGAGCTAAGTTGACACAGAGATTTAGCATTGCAAAGTCAGTCTATTCTAGACGAGTATTCTGCTGGACTAATTTACTGTCTTTGGAGATACTCCCTCCTCCATGTACATACTAAGGGCATCCAGGGAATAATCCTGCCCTGTTAAAAAAAAAAAAAAAATCACAGCAAAACTCCAAATCCAAAGAGGCAAATGTCAATTTGCATTGCTCAGAGTTAATGACATCTTTTAATTGCTCAATTTTAATCTGTTTGGTGAATTCCTTCAGGTGTAAAGGTTCATTTTAACAGGCACATCTGTTTGATTTTTTCTCCACAGAGCTGTTAAAATACCTCACTAGGCTAGAATTAATAAGCCTTCTTCACTTGTTCTATATTATTAATTTAGAGTTTCAATTCAAAGAGTAGTTCTCTCTGCAGCAACAAATAGCTTGTATTTGTTTCTTGTAAACATTCACTGAAGAATCACGTGTCTTCATGTATTTCCAGAACACACCTCTGCATCTTAAAGAAGAAGCATTACTTGGTATCTATCTAGCAGAAGCAGTAGAATGAGAAAACTAACAGCGCTGCAAGGGTATTTTTCAACAGGAAGATGTGAAGTGAAAAATAAAATTTGACTTTCTGGCCCTTGACAAAAACTGATGCAACAAATGTGACTGAACTGAATACATGGTTTATTTCTTATCTACAGAAAAGAGGAATCCCTCTTAAAACCAGTAGTGGACTGCTTCTCCTCCCTTGTTTTGCAGTGAGGGTGAACCACTCTATATAATCACTGCATAGAATATATATATGCAGGATTAAAAGCAGTTTACCAGTAATTTCAGGGGTTGGATTGTGCTGTCCAAAGGTAGTCTGCGGAGCATACATAAAGAAGCAGTCACCTAGACCTACTATTTGCAACCAACCAGCAGAGCTTGTTGAGATCCAGGTAGCAACCTGGGCAACCTGTGGCTACACAGATTGCACCAGACTTGTCATTCTTCAGGGTACAGGTCTGACCAGGGCAAAGCTATTTAACACTCTCAGCCTCCAAAAGAGCTGTCTGTCTTCAAGCTGCCTGTTAGGGAGAGGTCCTGGCCCAGGCATCTTCCTGATATCGTGGGGACATTGCTTAGAGGATCATCAGCTGGTATGGACCAAAGTCACACCTGAACCAGCCTAATGATGTGGTGACATCTAAACACAGGATACCCTGACAAAAAGCGTGTTGGTAGGAAGAGAAAAAAAGATTAGAGGGAGAAGTAATGTGGAGTTATTTCCACTGAGTCCTGCCCTGCACAACTGGCAACATCCTGATCCCTTTATCAGGATGACTAATTTGTCTCTCGTCAACCCATTGTATTAAACCACACTTTTTTCCTTGTGTTCTCACCCTCTAAAGCTCAATATATAGATATAAAATGCTTGATCTTCTTTATAAAAACTTCCCTATCCATTTCATGACTATTTAATTTTTCTCCCTGGATATGAATAAGCTTGGATGCTGTATCCAGGATTGTATCACTCTGTCTAGATTACTAGTCCTAAGTAAAGTCCTAAGAAGGGCTTTCATTTGGGCTTTCAGTACCTGTGCTATCATATTTAGAGCTATAACTGGTTTCTTTACACTGCACTGCCCTTCCACATTGTCCAAGTCCCAGCCAACTGGACTGGCAAATTAAATTCTGATCTACTTGATACCACTTTTTTATTTTTGTTCATTTTAGCTCTACTGTCAGAATTTCTTTAAACACAGCTAATCCTTTCTGAGCTCAGCCTGAATGCCATCAAGTCCTCTTTTGAGTCTCCTGGTATGTCTTGGCAAGCTCAGCCTGCTGTGAGGTTTCTCTCATGTGTCTTGGGCAGCAGGTAAACTGTGGGGCATGTGCATTCTGTAATGCTCCTCACAGTCCCAACTCCTTCCCTGCCTTGGCAGCAGGGTTCTCTTCCAGGGTGGCTGTGGTGGGGTTCACAGCTGGATTTCATCTTACCAGATATCAAGGGCAGTGTCTGGGTGTATGCACTGGTGTTTAGGAACTGATCTCATCTCTCCCAAGGCTGACATGAAGTCTTTGCTGCTTTGACCATGTCAGGCTTTCCACAGGTCTCTCTGCTGGCTCCATGTTTTTATCTAGGGGAAGCTTCATATCTGAGGCTTGTTCTGCTTACAACTGTCACTAGGGTGTTCACACAGAGCCTACAGAAACAGAAACTGGTTTTCCTGGAGATTTTGGGGCCGTGTCAACCTTTCATTTAGAGGCTTATCTAACTGCATTCAGAATCAACACAGAGGTACATCTATACCCATCAACTCAACAACACCTCAGGCCAGCTGGCTTGCCACATCACTCTACTCCACCCTCTCTGCCTATAGAGTATAATGGTTACCTCTGAATGACATCTTGGAAATGGCCCTTGGTCTGAGACAACTCTCAAATGATGCCAGGAATTGCTTAGCAAGTGCTATTTGCCATGGACCAAAAATGTGCCAGGAACCATGCTAACGTTCAACAGCATAGATAATTAAGATGTATTAAATAGAAATGTTTGCCTGTTTAATGTACTGCAATAAAGACAGTCACAGAAGCTACGGCTTTTAGCTTACAGGAATTATATGGCACTGGAAATAACAGGTTATTCAAAACTAGTATTGCAGTACTCAAGGTGTGCACCTAGAAGTTTGCATTCATTTAAATAAACTATTTTTAAACCACAAATTTAGCTAAATTTGAGAAATATTTTCAGGGACTAAAACTCAGGTCTTGGGATTCTTACCTTTGATTAACTTGTCATATTGTTCTTTTGTTTGCAAAAAAACCTCTTCAAACTAAAAAGGAGAGAGAATAGTGTTACACTGCTGTATTTGAACACTTGTCTTCTCTAAGTGACTGCACATAACCATGCACAGAACACTGAGTCAAATAAAACATAATGGGCCAGATCTTCAACTGCTCTGTTTGAGCCCAGATGTCCTGAAGATCCCACGCACACCCTGACAGCTGATGGGGAGCAGAAGGGCCTGGCCACTTCTGCATCAGGGCACTGATTCAGAAATAACCTAAATGCAGGTAGAAACAGAGAGCAGGCATCTACAGGAACAAGGCAGGTTGGAGCCAATGCCAAGGAAAACACAAGGTAAATCAAATATTTCTAACCCCACCCCAGTCAACAACACTCTTCTATTAGACACACTGCAACTGCAAATTAATAAGACTGAGTTAAGGTAGTTTTGCATAGAAAAATCAGATTAAGCATAATGGGTCAAAATGGGGCTTTATTTAAAGGCCCTTCAGTAATTTCTTAAGGGTATTGATACTAACCCTAATAAACTCTAAGCTCAGCTGAGTTTGCATCCCAAGTATTAACCACCAAACAAAGTAGTTACAAAAATGCAGTCCCACTGGCCAAATGAATTTCACCACCCTCATGGAGCTGTTTATCCTCCACATCCATGTTAAAGTGTTCCTCAGTGAAGCCAGCTGGGAACACCAGTCTTTAACACTGTACCAAATGCAAACCCACCTCCACGCCAGCTGCCGCCAACAGCCATCGTATGGGCTCCATTCGCCCCCTTCCATTCAAGTAGGTAAGCCTGGGCTTCCCCGACATGCTGCTGCCCTCCTAGGTCCCTGAAAAAAATACTAAGCAGAAAGCAGTATCTCTTAAAACTGGTGTAAGCACCATTATTTTGAGGGGAGAGGGCACCTTTTATTCTCACTATGCCTGCTGAAGTTTAAACTTCATCTGCTTTAAAACATAAAATGAGAGATGGACTGATGACACCATACCACCTCTGTTAGGAAAGGAAAGATGCGTGAACCTGTAAAGCTTCCCCAGTGCTACTAGGGAGGTTTATTATGATTATAAGCAAACACAGACATGTTTAAACAAGCAGTATAAGTCCCTAGCTACAGGGGAAATCTTGCTGCATTTTAAGACAATTATACAAAGGCACTGAAAATCCTACTACATCCTCGGGCAGGTTACTCACCCTCATTGACATCATCCTCACTGAAAAGATGAAAAGAAGTTCAAGGAAAACATGTTTTACTGGTGTGCTGAACTTTATCTAGCTTTATTAGCCATATATGCATTTTGCAGCTTCAGTTGCATTCCACTTCTTTCCTCAAATAGGGGAAAATGAACTGTTAATATTCCTGTTATTCCATGAAACAGGATGAGCTTCCTTGGCAATCCAGGCAAGTCTGTCTCCTTGCTGCTTTTGGCAGCCTTGAGATGTCCCTCAAAGCCAAATCTGGAAGCGTTGGCTTCAGGTGCTCCCAAAAGTATTCCCCAGGGCTCGGGGAACCTGCGTGCCCAGGGAGCAGGCACATAGAGGCTGTCTGACACTTGCTGCAGCATCACTTCTCTCAGAGTGTGCAGCAGAGACAGTGTGTTTGTATTGAGCTGTTTCATATGTAGGGACAACCAGCTGGACTATCTGTGCTGACACTTCAGTATAAGTATTTCCAAATTCAGGCCTTCATTTCTCTGTACTTCATTGCCCTAATTACCAAAAGAACAGAACTAGCAGTCCCCTTCACAAAGATGTTTGTATCATACACTAATGTTTGGAAGAAAAAAAACCTTTAAAAGAGATATCCTAATCATGTCCTAATGGCTCAGAGTAGAATGCCTCAATTAAAAAATTAATTTTACAGATGACCCCAGGTTTCTCAGAGCTAAAGGCCAAAGCTGCAACGTTACATCTGCCACACTTTGCACCCACTTGACATTTCTCATTTGAATTGGGCTTGGTACACTCCAGTTTATGTTTTCTTCAAGTCATAGTGCTTTGTAAGTGTACTTAAAATAAAGTACATTTGGAACATATTTTGCCAATACTTGGTTTTAAAGAACAGGATCGAGAGTTCTCGCTTGAGCAATTTCAGTAGAACAGTCATGTTACTAGAATAACTAGGGATATTTTAGGTAATTTAGAAAATATAATCCAAATACACATTAAGGAAAAAAGCATAATGTTCTGTTTTAAAGTGTCAATAGCTGTTTCTAATTACGTTTACCTCTAAGACAGTGTTTTATTAATTTCTGCACGTTCTGTGACAAGCTTTCACTGTAGGGCAGTTTATCTACATAGTTCACAACCGCTAACTAATGCCTCTTTCATTATCATACTTCTCAGATACGCTGCATCCATACCACTTCAACACAAATTGCCCCAACTTGTAATGTGCAGAAACTTAGAGTAAATAAAACTTTTCTTTTAACTAAAAAAGCCAGTTACTGCAATACCAAGCATATGAAACTTAAACATCTTTGAAAAATTACCTATTACTTGCAGAACAAAAGTACAGGGAGTAAAAGGCCTTAGGTATCATTTTACATGAACAAGAAATTCTATGGGGCTTTAAATTATATGAGAAGAGCAAAGACAAACGGAGAATTAAAATCTGTCATCAGATTCTTTTTTCTTTTTTTAATTAAGAGTAACTCTGTTAGCTCCGAGTGGATTTTAGTTGTCTTAAGCTTCCAACACAGGAAAAAAAACCCCTTGTTTTTTGGTTAAAAGTCTCCTCAATCTCTAGATCAACTGAATGTATCTCCATTGACTATACAGGGACCTGACACTGGTAGCTCACATACAGGCAGCTACTTTCAGTTCATGGGTCTGGACCAGAGTATTGCCTGAGAGCTCGGTTTAGTTGCCCATTTCTATGTGACCACTGACTCTTGCGATTTTCTAAAGGTCAGCAGATACAACCCTTGACTTACTGGAAACCATGCAACTTTTTCTACTTTAAATCAGCAAACCTATTCATCCAGACTCTCGATGCCTTTTTGCATCTGGAGAAGTGTTCAGCTGGCATAGCCAAGGCTCCCTCAGGACTTCATTCAGACCTCCACTATTTTTCTAGTTTTAGTAAAAGACTTCCAGGATGAAGTGTTTAAAAAAGCTGATCCATTTTCGATAGAGTATGTTGATGCTTTATTAATAATGAAGCAATCTTGTATAGCTGTCACCCATTCCTTACTGTTTGTCTCAGCTGGAAAGGGTGTTTCCACTTAACTTACAACATTTATAAAAGGTAGAATATCTGGGTTATCTGCTAAATTCTTCAGCAAGAGGAGTAGCATTTATCTGAAAACCATGTTAAAATCATTCAAACTCTTCCAAAACCAGCTACTAAAAACAAACGCTTTTTAGGAGCTGTAGGATTCTGCCACCCCGGGTAAATCTTTCAAGCAAATAGCAAAACCCCTGATACCAATTATTATCCAAGATGATGGAGAACCATTCAATGGACAACTAACAAGGTAAAAACATTCAAGCTGATGAAGCAAGCTGCAATTTTCATAGACTACCAGACTATGCATAAGAAGGGTAAGGAATAGCCTCAAGGATGGTAACTAATGTTGAACCTTGCTACTCTTACTCCTTTCACCTGGGGAAGGAACTGCACATCACAATTGTGTAGTAACCACCCATGAAGCATAAAATGCTCAAGCTAATTGAACAGATGTGTTGTTTCTAAATTCTAATCTGGAACTGTTGGTGGATGGTCATATTATCTGAGTAGCAACTGGGTTATTGAATAACTGCTGTGAATGAAGCAGTGGAGGCTTCACCGCTCAGTCTGAGGCTGAGTGCACAAACAGCTGAATTATTTGCATTAACAAATGTCTATTAGCTGTACAAAGAAAATACTGTAAATGTTTATGGTGATTCTCAATGTGCATTTGGTGTATGCCATGCTACTGGGCAGTTATAGAAGCTGTGTGGGTTTATAACTTCTGATGGAAATAAAATATCAAATGCTTCACAAATTACTCAACTGTTAAAAGCTATAAAATTACCAGAGAAACTTACTATCATTTATCAGCCAGACCATACCAGTAGAAGGACAAAAGAAGATATAGAAAATGGTCTAAGAGATATTGCTGCTAAAGGCACAGCACCACAGCCCTATGAAATACTTGACTTACAAGTGGTCTGAGCTGGTGCTGTTTGCCCTTGAAAAGATATGTCTGACTACTCCTGCTGAAGAAATTGACTCTTGCAAAAGACAGAACCAATCAAAGTTTCACAGGGAATGTGGAGAACAGATGCGGAAAACCTTCCTATTTTACCTAAGCAATACCTGATTCTCACAGCAAAAATGCATCACAATACAGGGCATTCTGGGACTACTGCACTAGCACAGACACTGCTGAAGAATTGGTTCATGTCAGGAATTTGTGCTGCAGCCAAATAAATAACTGCATTTTGTATGCACTACCCTAATATCTAGCAAAGACCTCAACAAAAAATTTGACTATATACAAATGTTTTTATTGTTTTTGTATAAACTCTGTCTTTCTATCCTATTTCCTAGTGAGCCTTAAAAATACGCCTGTCCTGAATTTCTCTGGGCATGCATCTCAGGGATGCAAGAACAGTTTAAGAGGCCATGTCCTTCCAGAAACAGTAGTACCTGCATTCAGCATGAAGTGCCCTTTAGCCCTGGAGATGGGATCAAAGTCCAGTGGGCCATCTTTCCTGCTCAAACCCAGAAGAGATCAACACAGTCTCCTGCAAACTTTCACCCTCCCACACTTTGTCCCATCAGCAGTTTCATGGCTGCCTTGCTCAGCTCTGGACTGCACTGCAGGATTCATTTCCTGGTTAACACATGTCTTTTCTCTGGTATTCTCTCACCTACAGCTTTCAGCTGGTGAGTAACTATCAAGCCATGCTTAGTCTGTCTGGCACACAAACTGAAGAGAGCAGAAAATTTACATTACCCCAGCAAATTTGGAAGTAGCTTCACCTAAAATAATCACTCAAATGCTTTAAGAAAAAGGAATTTCTAAGTCAGTACTTACCTTCTGGCCTTAACTCAGTCTGCACTCAGCACAGGCAGGTTCCCCAGGGCTGTTTAAACTTTGCAGTTTGGGGGAGTTTCTGGTCATACCCAATTAGAGAGAAAAACTCCCAAATGCTTTTAAGCTTAAAGGCATATGGCTCTGAAAATTGACACCCGAGGCACACACTGTCTGTTTGCTGATTTGACTAGACGATAAAGGTAACCTCATAGTTTCTATGGTAGCCATCTGTTTGAACTGCTCTCTTGGAATTTTGGCAGCAGTTTCCCCAAATACAAGAGCAAGATGCTGTAACACTGAGAAAATTATAGATTTTTCTGGGTTATCTTTGGTGTATTTGAAGAAAAACCAGTGAAGTTTCTAGGTTTGTTTCACTACTCAGCAGTAACCCAGGTTTTTTATTTTCCGTGCTGTATGGCACAGAAAAGTTACCCAAAGTATGGGATAACAGTGCTTCATTACTTTGAAATATAGTATCAAGCTTACTTAGTGATAACTTGATATAAGCCATTTTTGTCACAACCTCACCCCATGTCTTAAGGCAATAGCATTAATTTTGGAAATTGCATGTGCATGGCTAATACTCAGAGATGAAATAAACTATAATTTTCTTACCCTGTTTCCATGAGAAGTAACTGTTTCAGCTCTTCTATCCATATTTCAGGTGAAAATACCAAAACTGAAAGTGGATACAAACAGATACAAGGGTGGCAGAGCAGAAGGAAATGGGATTTGGGTGCCAAAGATCAGGGTCTCTCCTCTAGCATAGACCCACATGTGATATTGGGCATCACTTTACACCCCTGCAGCAGACATCAGTGCAGCTAATCTGAAGATCTGTTCCCAGAACCCAGGCTGTTATCAAAATTATATTCATCTGTCTAAAGCCACAGCCCCTCACAATGGGGAATCTCAGGACAAAAGTCTCTAGGTAACTATCTTGGGGAAATCCTTCCAAAGCTGCTACTTTCTTTTTCTTCACAGCTGAAGTTTCCTTATGGTTTCTCTGCCTGGTAATTGCTGGCAGTCTCTTCTAAAGGATGCACTTTCAATAAAGGCTTCTTGCAAATTTGTAATTTATGTGCTTCAGAGGTTGATGGTGTCAGCAAAAAAACCTCTGTATGGTGCTTCTTTACACTTTGCCTAATTTTAACTCCCTCTCAAGTTCGTAATTTAATGAATAAAGCATAACATTAAATGCATGCTTTTGTATTTTCTGTGTCAAACCCACTTACCACCAGGTTACCCCACACAAAATTCCCGAGTACAGGTCAAAAGTCCAGCAGATGTCCAAAACAGTTTCTAGCAGGCAGCATGGGTACAGCACCCTATTTTGGAAGGTCTGAGTGTGGTGTCAATGCATGCCATAACACACTAGCTGGAAGCAGTGCCAGCCAGTGGTCCTTATATGCCTAAACCAGCAGTACAGATGGGGCTAAAGCAGGAATGGGGCCCATACAGGTATAGCTGATTAAGAAAGGAGCATTCATTCATACCTGTCTGTGATGGTAGTATTAAATCAAGATTAATCTATTCCTGCTTTTGAGGTCTTTGGTATCAGCACCTGAGTGAAAGAGCTGGTTCAGGAACAGTGACCACAGCAGAGCATGTGCGTGGCTGTTGTCACTTGGTCCCCTCTGCAGTCTCAGATGCTGACAATGGCAGCAAAAGGCTTGACGGCAAAGAAGAATGGGAGGAAGAGGTCCTTGATTTGAGGTTCAGGGATGAGTGGTCAAGCAAAAGCATTCTGACGCTTTTTGGATTTCCTGAACGTGTCCACACCCATCTTTGACTGTTGTTCCCCTTCTACACATTCCTGTTTGACAGAAAGACTTTCCCTCTTGTTTTTATTTTGCTTCCAGCACAGCCTTTCATAATGTAATTACAAAGCTCCTTTGCCATCTGAAGGTATCGTATCAATGAGGTTACTGCCATCTGCAACTTGAATAGCTGTTCTGAACCTCTAAAGCAGAAAAGAAAATAAGTTTATTTTATACATGATTTGTTAAGCCACACCCATGAGTTTTCAGGCAGCGGGCATGGGGCCCAGGTGTCACTTAAATGATATGGGGTTGGGCACAGCCATATTTGAAATAACCTGTATACCATGCCCTGGCATGTTAGGTTCCCACTGTGCTCTGTGGACACACTTCCTTGTGCTGTAGATGAGACCAGTACAAAGTCTTCTCGAAATGTGCCTACGTGCAACCCTCACAAACCACTAAGCATCTGGCTTGGGGGACCATGCCTGATTACAGCATCGTCTCAGGGGTAAGCACAGGGTACATCACTAACTGCCACTAAAGAATTAAACACAGGAAGGTAGGAGGATCTCCATGCTGCTTATTGCACTCCTAAACTGAAGTACACCACCACTGTGATAAAAGTAATTAGAGTCCACGTGAATAGTTAAAACAAGTCATGCATTACTTAAGCTTGGATTTGCTGCAAACTTGCAGTGAGTGCTCTGGTTCTGTTCAGCAAGTTTTACTGGCTGCCCAAAGACAAGGTTAACCAAGACTTGTCACCCTCACGCATATTTCTGTAAGCTCTTTGGCACTCAGCCAGTCCACTGGCACAGAAAAGTCTGATTTACACCCATTGTGCTGCTGGTGAGGGGAGGTTAAATGGAGAGCTGGTTTACAGAATGTTGTAATTTGGATTGTTTAATCTTTATTGATCGAAGTATCTCGGTATGGTCAAAGGGCTGATTTATCTAGGTACAAGATAGGCAAGAGCAAGGTCTCAAAGCCAATTGAAAAAATAACTTTAGTAGTACAAATTTCATTGTGAAATATTTATCTTAAATAGCTCATGTATTATAATGACTTCATATTTTGATCGAAACTTGTGTATGTTTCCTCTTTCTGGTCTTTGGTATGTTCTGAGAAACTTTCTAAGACTCTCAGTTTATGTGCATTGTTACAACTAAAACTACTACTAATCTAAACTCAGGTTTAAAGAATCTTTTTATTTTCAAAAGAAGATATAAAGAAGTAAAGCAGAAATTTCAGTCCTATTTTTGTCTGATGTTGACCAATTATAAAGCTGGACAACAATTTGGGGTTTTTTTCCAATTAAAAATACTTTTTACAATAAAATAATTACAAAAATTGACCATTTGAACAAATTTAAAATCAGCTTTCATCCTGTAAACTTTTTTTTTTTGCTTGTTCTGGTCCTTTTAAAGTAAAACCAGATTTATTTATACTTCTCAGACAAGAGAAATAGGTTTTATTGACCACAAGTCCATTTCTTCCCTTATAAAACACTTCTGTTTTCACTGAAGTTTTTTTTCCCTGGAATTCCTCAGAATTTTCAAAAGACTCCGTAACCCTAATACAGATTTCAGTATTAATATATCTTCAAAGACAAATATTCTTGCTGACGCCTGAAAATCTGTCTAATGCAGTTTTACACTTTTTTGAATGTCTTTTTAGTTGTTAAGAAAGACAATCTGGCTGCATTATAAGTTTGAGGCTTTATTCTTCGTCCTTGTCATCCCCGGATAAAAGGTGGAAAAAGGTGTGCAATGTTTACATTAACATACTTTTATTACACTTAGCACATTGATTTCTAAGGTACAGAAAAGAAGGCGCACAGGATCTACTTTTTATACTGTTACACACATTTTTTAAATTTACACACTCCTTTCAAACCTTTTAATAACACACTACTATTGTTAAATATATACCAGTATATATTCTATAAGTGGTGTTAGCTTAAAACAGTTTTCTCTATCTTATTTTTATCTTTAAGTGCAGGTACTCATCACAGGTATTCCTCCGCAGGAATTAGCAGTTTCTTTTCTCTCCTTCACAGGCTGCCCAAGGTCTTTTAGTGGATTCCTGTGTTATCTCAGAGGCCTCTGGCTGAGCCACTGCTTCAGGGCCTCTAACTGGAACACCTGTTTGGCTCCCTACATATTCTCTCCTTCCCTTAAACCCTCTTACACAGACCTGTCAGTATAAAAAAGAGTCAATGAAACAAGATTAGTGACACATTATTTATATAGCCTAGAAGTATCCCACCTTTAAGATGGTTTTTATTCACTGTTTGGTAGCATGTTCAAAATTATAAAATGAATGGGCTTTAATGACATTTATAAGTAACGATCTAACTGTGCATTTACCTTTCTTGCAGATAATGTAAAACAGTTTGTGAAATGTAACTTGGCTTCTTCTCTAATGATGTTTTCAGCATGAGACTCATTTGTTCATGTTGTACGTGCAAGACAGTACAAATCCAGAAGAACAAAAATCAAGGTTTAAGTCAGAAAAAGCGTTGAAAAATGACAGCAGATGGAACCTGGTTTCATTTCATGGTAAAAAAATCCGTTAATGCTACAGCTTGTTCATCTGGATTCATCATTGCTTTGTTGGCTGACAAGCTGGAGGAATTTCTTATTTGTGGCAATGTTGCTTACTCTTGCAAAGGGGAATTTGAATCTCCTGAGGAAGGGACTTTCACGAAGATGCCTCTGCATTTCGTGATATACCTGTGGTGACGCGAGTCTGGTCCCTGCTGGCAGTCCACAGGTGAGGCCTTCGCTTGGACCGAAGGAGAACCGAGGGGCTTGGAGACCCCCTTGTGTGTATTGAACAGAGATCCAGCTACAAGATTGAAAACAATGCAACTACTAAGAATAGGGGTGGAAAAAATTCTAATCATAAGCCAACAAAAGCCTGTTAAACCAGCTTCATCTGAAAATCACTCAGGGCTGATGTCAAGGAAGAAGGCGCTCTCCTAGAAGTAGATGGTACAGCCTCAGAGAAAAGTATGTGCAAGTCAGATGGTACAAGCCTACAAGGCAAGGTATAAAACCATACCATGATTAGTAGTGGGATAATCTGCCTTTCAGAATTTAATCTTTCTGCACTAGGGTGAAGTCAAGCTCTTTTTCTGTTACCAGAAAACATAACATTCCATTCCATTTCATCTTCTCTTGCATAATGTTTCCAGGTATGAGATTAAATAGTTCTGCTGCAGTGTAGAAATTGGTCTGAAATGGAAAGTAGTAGTTATAGGGCAAGCAATATAAACAAATCTGCAACATAACTAAATTCTGCATTAGGATTAAGTGATGCCTATAGCTAGGTAGCTCGTGGGTAAATATTAGAGCTGGACATG